ACCACCTAAATAATGGTATAGGAAATATACCACCAGGAGGTAATTTTTTTATTATTGCAATTAGAGTTTGCATTTGCATTATTATAATTACAAGACTATAGGTAATTGTAATTGAGCCAGAATTACAATCATAATTCATAGTGGTCATTAAGCAGGTCACCACATGACTGCATCTGATTTACAACTTTTTTGGCAGCAATTGTTAAGGAAACACAACAGTTGTTAACCAAACCCATTTTACCCAATGAATGTTTTTTTGCCGGAAACTAGAATTAAATGCTGGTTTCCACCAAAACTGTCAAAAATCAAAATCAGATGACCATGGGAAAAGCAAGTTCACACCATTGCCAGATGAATTAGTTGTGTGGTTTAAGTCCATCCGTCTATCTGTCTAATAGCCTGCCTTAGATTCAGGAGCTCAAGATGTACCTAGCCCTCCCCATTCCCATTTCCCCTGACAATAACAACTCTTGAGAGTAGGTAACTAGTCAGCTTCTGTGGATGAGAGTGGACCTGTATCTCATAATTCCTAGTTCAACTTTTTCACCACTATACATATTATGTCCATATGAAGATGGGGCAGGATGGCAGTAGCAATTGCTTTGTATTCTCTTGATATTTTATTTAAAAAGTGTATTCAAGTGTATACAGTCTGCTCACTCCTGAACTTTACTGCTGGGGGAAAATGTTGCCCAGATCCTATTCCCTTCACACTCCCTTCCATATATAATTTTTATCTTTTATCTTAGAATTGAAGTAGAATATGGGATTCAATATACATTGGTTTTTTGTTTCTTAATACTTTTAATCAGCAAAACAAAACTTTTTTGTCTCTTTCTTTTTCCAGACATATCAAAAAACAACCCACATCCTCCTAATTATTATGAGCTAATGGAATTTGATCCTTTGGCCCCTTGTGATCCAACCAAGTATGTGATTTTCAAAATGATTAAATTCTTGCTTGCTTGCTTATTTCTTGTTCTTAATAGTCCAGACCAGTACAGACAGCTTTTCTTATGCCAGTGTAGCAAAAATACCATATGGTACATATTTTAAGTCATTCATGATAGCCACTAAAATCGAACAGCCACATAGAATTCTTGAATGGGTCTTTGTTTCATGTTACTGAATTGCATCTGATAGTACCCATCCACTAGAATGCAATATCTCTTTTGCCATTCCCCAACTTTCTTAGCAGATACTGTACAGGGGACCATAGAAAAGAGAAAAGTTTTGCTGGGTGAGCAGTTATCTGTATTTTTACCATTATAACAAACAATATTTATATACGTACACTATTGCTTTTGGGGCAAGCATCATTAATGCAAAGGCATAGAAAAGGGTAAGCATTAACAGCTGGTAGCTTGAAGGGTGGGGTGTCTATGCTGACCTCTGAGATGGCACCTTTCTCCGAGATAGAACAGAGTAAAACATGTAAAACACTCAAACTTCACAAAGAAGCAAACACTTCAGCCATATACAGCCGAGAAGAAAATGCAGAACTACATCCATTCAACACCACATGGTGAGTGATGAAAGAGTGAGAGACTGCAAAAGGAAAAAGACAAGTTCACAAGAATATTGGAGAATATTTGAGGCCATCTAAACTACGGATAGGCTGGGCTGTCGGGAAATATAAATAAAATCTAATTTCCACATAGGTTGTTTAAAACAGCCTAGTCTACTCACTTTAAATTCCATAGCTCGGTATCACTCATCCCAAAGAACCCTCACGTTGTAATCAGGATAATTTCTCAACTTCCCTTTTTGAGTCCATAGAAAGTGATCTTTGGTGTTCATTATATTCATTTTTCTGTTCAACGTAGTAATTTATTTAGCTTCTCACAGTTCTCAAATGCACATATGTATTTCTTGAGAACTCATCTGACCTCAGAATGTTTGAAGAAATCTCACCATAGCTGTACATCATACTTGATAGTTAAAATCTCCTATTCACTTAAGCCTGCTGATCTGCAAAAACGAAAGGAAATTGAAGAGAACACTAAACTAAGCACTATATAAATTTATTATGGTTTGAGAGGCAAGTTCATTGCCATTGATAGAAACTAGATTGGGTAAATACATGACATGTAGTTAATTCTAGCATGTCATCCCCTAGATATTTTTATCCTGACCTGGCAGCCCTGTTCTAAATACTGCAGTGTCCCAGAAGTTCCCATAGTCTCTCAAAGCTGCATTTCAGAGGGAAGTTGAAAATACTCTATTCCCCCCATTCTGAGCAAAGTAATAATTAGACAGTTAAGGAAATGAATTTGCCTTCCTGATGAGCCTAACAGTTAGGAATTGTGTCAGGTATCATAGGAGTATTGTTTGTCAAATACGTGAGATAAATGTATTTGAATCACAAATTAAACGTACTTTTGTTACTAATGAAAATATGAGCAGTTTGATGACTATTTTTAACTGTCACTTAGCTGAAATGTGGGATGACTGGTTCCAAGAAAAATGTTTGGTAGATATGCTGCAAGTAATTTTTTTATTATAAGGACATGACTAGGAGGAATGTGAGGTTAGTGTTATATCTGTCCTTAACTCTCCTATCGGTGAATGTTCCTAATGTTTAGATTATTCCTTGTCACAAACTGTTTATTATCTGCTTTGATTTCAGACATATTTATGAAGAAATTGATCCACACCTCTTCAAAGCACAGGTTAACATCAAATGCTAGAAGCAGATACCAATAGCAAGATTTTATTTAACATAATGGTAGATTCTGCTGATTGCTTCAAAATGTAAAGACAAAATCTACTCGGTAGGATGAGATTTGGGATAAAGTGTTTTAAGAAGACACTTCAAACCTAAGATGTGTATCCTATACACCCTAAATACATTGCATCGGGTTCAACTCATTAAAAATACAGGATTCACTTCTGCAATCTTTGGATCAAAATCTACAAGGGATACAAGGGATGTTTTTCAAAATTTCATCCTTATAGCAATATAACACTCAGAATCTTTCATCTCAAGCAGGTTACTTTTATAGAATCCTTTAATAATAAAAGCAACATCTTTTCCTATAGGAAGAACTACACTGCATATTGCTGAATAATTGATTGGTATCTGATAGAACTGCTTATGATCCCAATCAAAGAAGTTGAGTGTTGGATCGATGACTAATACCTATAGAGCTCAAGTACAATTCCCAACTATTGAAGACAAGGAGAGATCTAGCTATTAATTAAATCCTGCAGTCAGATTTCCTGGTAGGCTGCTTAGTAGGAGAGACCTTAACAGTTTGTCTTTGATGTTGGTCTTTAGTGAAAAATAATCACCAACTTCAGAGGTTGAAGTTAGATTTCCTTGCAGAACATTTCCTGTTCTTCTGATAGTTAGCCATTCTAACACTTTCCTCGGTTATGGAATGCACTTTAAATGCAAAAGAAAGTAGGCACAAGCTACTGCAAAACAGAGCATATGAATCGGTAGCAATTGTGACATGCTGTAGTAGCATATCTTGTTCCACATTGCCTTACTACAGTTTTATCTGTTTTCCTGGATTATTTCATTCTCTCTTACAATGCAGCTAAGTATGTATGAAGCAGTAGTTTTCATAAGTTATGGAGGGTTGCATTGGGAGCAGCTACAGCCCCAAGCACTGCCAGAATGCATGGGCCCAGCAAAGTATAAAACATGCATTGTGTGATATTTGGAATGACTTTGATTATATTACTGCTGTTACTTTCTATTATTCCCAACAATTCAGGTTACCTTGAATAACAATTCCTTGGTCATGAGGTCATATAAAATTGTGATTGAAATAAGTGCCTTTTCTCTCTCTACGTTTCCAGATCTAGTTTTCAAACCTTTAATAAATTGGTACCCTTTAAGTCTCGAGTAATATGTATACCATTATTTGTTTTACAATGGCTGTTATTAACATACAATCCAAGTAAAGAATGTGGAATGGAAAACTAAATTAAATTTGAAGACAATTTTTCCCAAATGCTTTTATGGTTAGCTTTTTTTTTTATGTAGTGTTTTGTGATGCATCAGATCCACTCTACCAGATTTGCTTTGGACTGCTGAGGGATCTTCCATAAATACTACGGAGATGCAGAGGGAAAAGCAGGGGAAAATGTTAGGCTTAGCCTCCTATTTTCTAGGCAAATGAGCTTTACAATAACATTGTTAAACCTATAAAGATTTTATACGGGGGGGGGAATCTTCTGCCCCTCTTTTTTCCACTGATTTCCACCACACAGTGGAATTTGTGGCGAACAAATCACTTTACATTTGAAATGTAATCTATTTTAGATATTGTTTGACAGTTTTCAATACATACTATACCCCAACAGTGATATTACTTTCTTCTTTTGGAAAAGCAGTTTGTCAAGTTGTTCAAGGCAGGGATCTAGTCAAATTTAACGAGGTTAAAAGCCCATGTTAGTGAAATTATTTTCTCAACACGCACACAGACCCCCAACACAGATCTATTTAGGAGAAAATCAGAGCACCATCTTCCACACTGAAAAATTGGTGCAACAAATTTAACATAATTATTGAATTTTAATCCATTTTCCGAGTTTGCAGAAAGGACATTGAATTTGTGCAACATGCTAAGCCACAGAAAAGGATAACCTAATCAAGCTTAGCATGTTATACAGATACAGCTACTCAACCCTTTATTTGACATGGTTATGTGTTACCAAGGTGATAATGAAAACAGAAAGAATAGAATCAAAGTATATTACCCTGAAGAACTCAAGAGGAAAGCTTTAAGTGAGGATATTATGGGATTCATAAAAGCAGGATTTCAAAAAAAGGTTGCTGTTCTTAGTTATTCTGCATTTATTTTGCCTTGTGGGTAACTCATGAAAAATAGGAGCGTAGCTTTTAGAATAAAAAGCTGCTGCACGGAATAACTGAGTTTTAACTAGTACACTGAACAATATCTTCTGCACACTTCTTTAAAACAGCTTACAAAACTTACCAGATTGTGCTACTTCTGATTTAAGGTAGGCAAGTAAAGTCAAATCTAGCAATATTTGTTATTTTACTGATTATTTAATACTTCATTAGGCAGACATCAAATCTCCAAAAATAAACTATTTACTATTTTACCCTTTGACACACTAATCTATTAAATAACATTTTACATTACTCTGTGGAATTGAAATTTTAAAAAAACTTTATAAAATGACAGTCATAAATTGGTAATTGCATACATCTTCCTGTAAATGAAAGAGAGAAATGAACAAAATGAATTATTTTTGTATATCATTTCCTTGTATTCTTAATTTGGTTTTAAAATGAAGATTAATCACATCTCCAAAGAGAAGATACATCAGTGCATATTCAGAAAATAAAACATAATGCCTGAAATATTCAGCATCGTCTTCCTGGGTTAAAGAAATTATTTTTGCAATGTCAGTGGATTATCAATAGAGAATTGAAGACAAAACTCCAATGTCGAGTCTAGATGTTGCATTGTTAATTATAACCTGGAAGGGGTGGTGTATATCCTGTTTTGGCTTCAAAAAACGTGTAAGAAAGAGTAATCAAATTAACTTTCTCCATCCTTGGGTCTTCTACAAATTCAGGATCAATGAAGAAAAATACTGGCATGTCCACTTCCTCACGAGGATTGAGTCTTTGTTCTTCAAAACAAAAACACTGAAAGAAAAAAAAAGATTTATTTTCCAAAATTGAATAGCTAGCTAACTTCTGTCTATGTTTTGTTTTAACCTTTAATTCAATATGTTTTTTAAAAAATATATTAAAAACAAAACCATTTTCAAACTCTTTGTCAAGTAATTGTTTTATAAACATTTTAAAATCTGTCTAAATATAAAACATTTAAATATTAAGATTAAATATTAAGATCAAAAACTAAGTGATATTGGTGAGCATCCCTGTTTTGTTCATATTTCACGGAAAAGTGAGCACTTTGAACTATTGGAAATCTTATAATTATTATGCTATACAAAAGCAATCCTTAAAGAAAAAAAAATGTTATACAGAATTCAAGAGGACAAGAATAAGAAGTATTGAGATCATACCATACCTTAAATCTAATTCTATGAATTGCTGCAAATATGGATTATCAAAACAGGCTATTTTTAATTATAAATATTTGAGGAAGTTAACCAAACTGAGCAGCACTTACCTGTATCTTATTGAAATATTGTCCAGCCTCAGGTGGTAGTACATTATAGGTAGATATTCCAATTATTGGTCTATCAGTGGGATTCTTTGCTTTATAAAAGGCCAGTGCAGTTTCTCCTGGAACCACCTATTTTAAAAAGTTACAACTGTTACGTTTCTAGCTTCTCTCCACACTTTTATTTCTTACAAAATGGGTTTTCAAACAGTCTGTGCACCAAGTTACATTAAAGCAGGATTTCTCAAGAATTCTCCCAGAATTCTGAGTTGATATCCATGTATCTCAAACCAGTTGAGGTTGCAAAACACAGCATTAAAGGCTCAATCATTTGAGGTGGAGTATCTTTGTTGCATTATATTTCAAAGTATTTATTAAAAGCCATTTTTAGATTGTACAAAGAAACTAACCAGAATTTGGTTCACTTTAATACTAATGATAGAGAAGGCTAGATTAAACTATAGTTGTGCACTTGGCAAACAAGCAGTGTACTGGGATTTAACCTGGCTGCCATTTATATTTGCTACTAGCATAAACTTAATTCTAAAATTAGTTTTGCTAATATAAATTAGTAAAGCAAAATTTATTGTTTGATTATATCTTATTTATCTAATTGAAAGGAGCCTCTTAATTAAAAACTCTCGGTTGGCTACAACTACTCACATTCTTGATTATTTTTATAAAAGCAGCTTATCATTTTATTGTAAAAAAATGCTTATAAAAGTTCATGCAAAATTCACCTAGCAGATTTTAATTACTTACATAAACTTCAGTCTGCTGAGGCTTGAAGTTCCACTGAAGACTTGAATGTACATCTGAATTGAAGGTGACTTTAATGATGCGGTCTTTTACAGGCTCCATAGTCTCAATCTGGTCTGAACTATGACCTACTGAAGTTGACCCACTAAGCCCAGTAGCCTGAAAGAAAAATAAACTAAAATTAAAAAAACAATCTACTTGAAAACAAATTATTTTCATGGCAATAAGAACTGAATAGGTTTTTTTTCCCATTACAAATTGTTTACTTAAAACTAGCAACACTTACTAGAGCTGTGCAGTGCTTTAGATTCAAAGGCAAAAAGATGCCTCAATGTTTGCAAAGGTGCTCACGGAATATTTCTCTGCAGCTCCTTAAAGCAGCTGTGTCTTTTCTCAGGAGCATGCCGTTTTCTTCTGTAGTTGCAGTAAGATCCTGGGAAAATATGAGTTTGGTTTAAGTAGTTGGAGAGAGAAGCAATGTGTGCACCCATTAATGCTTCAAAGCAAGTTTTTGAATCTGAAGTACTCCACAGCTATAATCTGAGCAGCAATTGGGGTCCCCTCACGAAAGTCATGGTTGTTCAAAAGGTTTATCATATCTTATTATTCAAGGAGACCAACTAAATACCAATGGGGCTTTCGCAAGAAAGACGTTAAGTACACTAAGGAAATTCATATATGCACTGCATCAGTTGCTAGAGGAAATGTATAATTACCACGGTTGTCCCACCTTCATGAAACTGTAAAATCCCCTTACAAAACTCCTTCTTAGCAGATTAGCACTTTCATGTAATGGTGAAGCTGTTTCAGTAAAACTGACAAGAATGGGAGCACTAACTAAGTTGTTGCTGAACAGTTAAAAGTGGAAGAGATAAGTTATTTTAGACAAGAAATTCAAACATAAAAACCAGAAGAAAAGAACCATCTCTATATGGTTAACAAGGCAAGCGTATGGGTATGGCTGGAACATTTAGACAAATTATGGTGGTACCAGATACTGAGAATCCTTTTGTTCCAGAAGTCATAAAATAGTTGTCTACTAATTGAAGAATATTGAATTTTCGTGTAGAAATCTTGACGTGATGATATAATCAGATACAAAGAAAGGCCAGTAAAATCTTTTTGTTATATTCAAATGTCCATTCAATCTGAGTCTGCAATTTGAGTCAATTGACATCAATCTGTCAAAAGTATAATAAAAAGTACCTTATATAAATTATATAAATTTGTTTGATCTGGATTATTTGGGATACAATAGACTTTGTTAAATATAGCTGAAATCTGGATGCAGTTTAAGTTTATTATTTGAAGACTACTAAACTGAAGTTGTTAAACTGAGATTTTACTATACTGGAAGAGTTCTTCTCTTTACAAGGACATGAACAATTGTGAACATGAAAGGTGTGATACATGAATAAATGAAAACTAAAATTGTCAAAACAAAGAAAAATTAGGAGGGCTAGAATGTGGCAAAAAGCCAAGAACACTGGGGGTGGTTAAAAGAAAGTAAAAATGGAAAGTGCTGAGATAATTAGAGGTTTGGCCCAAGGCATGCTTGACACCAAGGACATCAGTGGAAAAGCTAAGCAACTAAGGAGAATTAGGGAATGGAAAGCACTAAGAAAATTGACATGTGAGATGACCACCTGCAGCAGAAGGAAGAGACAAACATACAGTACAAGCCTTGTCCTATTCGCTTCAAATACCCATTCAGATTTTGTTTCAGCCCAAGCCTTGAATAACCAAAATGTTCAAGTTTCAGTTCTACCAATCACAGCTTATCCACATCTCAATGTATATTTATTATACTTCTAGACACACAGAGTAGTCTATTCTTGGCAGCTTACAGGCTATAAAAACAAAAATATTCATATAGAGGTTAAAACCAATCAATACAATTATATTCATCACAATAGTTATATCAGTTCCTATCAAATAAACGTAAGAACATAAAAATGAGTCAAGGCAATAAAACAGTAAAAAGAGATCCAAAACAAATGCACAAATTACTGAAATCATGGCAATAGTTTTTCACACAATCACATTTTGCTTAAGATTTTATAAAAAGGACTATAGCTGGAGAGAGAAAAACAACACAGGAACACAGTATTTTAGAAAAGCTCGGGGGAGCATACAATAGAAAACAAGGTGGATAATGGATAGAGCAGAAGAATATGTGGACGTTTACCTCTGATTTAGAATATTAACCATACAGAGGCCTTAGAATGGCAAAACCATGGAATATATCAAAGCTAATGGATGTGTCAAAACAACCTATTATTCTTTTGAAGAATCTTTAAAGTGACAAAAACCACTGTAAGAATTGAATTTAGAGAAAGGGGGTAGGCCACAACAGAGAAGGGAAAGAGACAAAAATACATATTGATTCAATGTCTATTTCATGTATTCGGTGTACATTCTGAAAGTAGGATTTGGAAGAAAGGATTAATACAAGTCAATGTGTACTATACATCTGAGATTTGCAAATGCAACCACTTTTTTGGCTGAAAGTGAATAAAATTTAAAGAGCTCATTACGAAAGCAAAATCAGAACGCCAAAAATCCATGCTGCTACTAAATTTTAAGTCAACAGTAATGTCGACCATCACATTTCATGTACTTAAAAGAGTTGATGGAAAAGGCCTGAAGGTCATATACGTGTTTCCCTGTGCACAAATGCAAATAGACAGCAATCTTAGAGAAAAGTAATTGGGAATAATAAATTTAAACGAAATCGTTTAGAGTAAGGACATGCCAATAACAAGATAGATCAGAATAATTTTAGCAATTAGCAATCTGTACCTAAGATCGCCGTTTTATTCTCCTATCACAGTGTTTCTCAACCTTGACCATTTTAAGGCATGTGGACTTCAACTCCCAGAATTCCACAGCCAGCATTGCTGGCTGTGGAATTCTGGGAGTTGAAGTCCACATGCCTTAAAATGGTCAAGGTTGAGAAACACTGTATCACATATTCCATGGACCACAAGAACTAGCCACGCCCTCGCCCCTTCAAACACATTAACCCTAACGGGGCAGGCTGGCGTAGAGAGGGAAACGAATCGTCGGCTGCAGGTGGACTCCAACCCCGCCCCGCCACTCACCTGGCAATAAAGGCGATAGAGCGGCACGGCTGCGTAGGATAAGCCTGCCATGCCCACGACCCCGGCCGCCAGATAGGTGAGCACCGTCCTGTTGCTGTGCTTCCATTGCTGCTCCTGCTGCCGGCGGAACGCGGCGACAGCCTCGGCGCTCTTATCGCGCTGGTCCCCGCGGAATTCCTGGCTGTTGCCACGGTGACAGAGCCGAACCGGCCTGCACCCCCAGCCTCTCACCGTTCGGGCCACCAGCACCCAGCCCTTTGCGCCCAAACGCATGCTTCTTCCTGTCACGTGAACACTCCCTTGCAGCTGGGCTGCCCTTCGCAGGCCAGCGAACGCGATTAGCAAGTATCGCGAGAGTAGCCAAGGTCAAACCCAGCGGGGTTGTCGCTTTGACACTGCAAAACTTCCAGCACTACGTTCTGACTACGGCGGCCGCGGGGGGTAAGTTCGCGTTTTCGTTACCTGTCGCCTCTTCGCCCCGCCTCCGAGTTAGGAGCGGTACGCATTTCCCGCCAACGTTGCCGATGCTGGATTTTTTTTTTTCTATCCAGATTTGAGTTTTTCGATCCTTGTTGGGTTTCTTGGGGTTTTTTTATTTTAAAATTTAATGAAATCTAAGTTTTTCTATACATCACATTATATTGTAGGTGTTAGATTAGGTACAGATAATTTAGTTTAAAACTGATTTATGGTGTTTTGCCACCTGGGCTTTTTTTTTGTGTTTTTTTTTTTGTAGAATCTGGGTTTATCTGAGCGCGAAATCTGGTTTTAGGAATCCCCGCTGGCAACCCTGATAAATAGGTAAAAATAATTTAGTTTAAAACTAATTTATTGGGGTTTTTTTGTTACCTGATTTTTTTAATGCAGAATCTGGGTTTATTTAAGCGCAGAATCTTAGCACTTGTGTCTTGTTATTGGAAATTCCGCTTGCAATCCTGCTTCCCGCAATCTTAGACGCCCCAGGCTAAGTTTCAAAAAAGACGAGTGCACTGCAGACTTGTTTGTTATCCAGACACACCCCTGGAAATCATGGGAAAGCTCTCGGCTTCTAGGGATTAGACTGATGTTTCCGGTTTTGAAATGTCGGGTCTATTGATCACCTGCTTCGTTAGGAATCAAAGGAGTTATAGCCCCTTTGATATTCACACCAAGCGACCTGAGTAAAACGAGGGAGCCAGACTTGTACCAGGAAGAACGCATTCAGCCACCACCACAAAGCTCCCTGGATGATTTGAGACTAGGCAAGATTTTTCAACTGACCTACTCAAAGTTGTTTTTGAGGATAACGTGGGCAGCAGGTGGAGTAGTACTAGAATGTTGCTTTAGGTTTTTGAAGGACAAAATTGTTTTAAATAAAATTGGTCTTTCCCATTGTATTAAGTACATAGTATTAAATGGCACACAGCATTTAATTTTATTAATTTATATCCCACCTTTTTATTTTTATAAGGCGGTGAACATGCCTAATACTCCTTCCTATTTTCCCTATAACAGCCTATGAGGTGGGTTGAGCTGAGAGTGATTAGCCCAAAGTCATCCAGCCAACTTTCATGCCTAAGCCTGGACTAAAACTCACAATCTTCTGGTTTCTAGCTTCATGCCTTAACCATTAAGTCAATCTGGCTCTTCTGTTGGTTGCTATCTATAGTCTATTACATTCAAACTTTGTGGCTCAAAAGTACAAACAATTGCTTCCATCTGCCATCCTTTCAAGATGCATTCTGCACATACATGTACAGGTTGATCTGGACTGCAATCATAGAAAAAGCATAGCTACTGTAATAAAAGGAGGTCAGCATACTAGCTGGCTTCCACTTGCTGGCTTTCTCAGGAAAGAACAGATGTGGGAGTTATTGGAGGGTAGTTGTAATTGAAATTGGTACCCCTATTTAAGGGCTGTTTCTGTGGAAATAAGGTGAGCTGATCTCTGTAATGACTGGTCAGGAAAGATATAGGAAGAGCAGGATAAGCATTCCAGTACAAATGGGACCACCACCTTGATGCCAGTACCCATTTCTGGCTCTACAGCTTCAGTCCTGGGTCTTGGTGGCCAAGATTGTTAGTGTTCTCTGTCTCAAGCTGCTAAAAATGTGGGATATTTTATTTTTTAACTAAGAAATATTCAGTAAATTCAATACCAGGTGTATCGAACCATCAAAGAATGTGTGTCTGCATTAGTTTGAATGCAATCCATAGTAATTATTCATGTAATACCCAATGGTGTTCTTTTCTGCTTTACAGCAAAAGAGCAGTTTTAGTTGTGAGCTTGTTGGAATATTCCATTATTAATGACATTTGTCGACAGAAATGGCATCCCCAGACTCAAATCACCCTGAAATGTAAGTCATGTATGTTTACACATCTTTAGGCCTATAATAATTAAATTCAATATCTATCTCTGATTTATATTATTAAAACAGTTCCTAATATATGTATATTAATGTTAGTGTAATACATCTAGTTAGTGCAGAATATGACAAAAGAAATGTGCCTTCATACGTGTTACACATTCATGCATACAGTACTGTGTTCTTACATGCCGAGCTAATAAGATTCCAGAGTGATATATCTTTTGTGATCACTGATAGTAAATAAAGTAAAGTACCAGTGAAAGAGAATATATGTAGTTCAGAGCTGAGCTGTGGAGTTCTTGGTGTTCTGTGAGCTTCAAAGGAATAAAATTTGCAAAGGAAGAAGAAAACACTATACTTCTTGGATATCTTTTTCAGCAGAAGAAATAATAGAAAATTAGAAACACAACCCTGTTGAAAAACAACCCACACTAACCAAGTGCTCCATTATCAAAGTAACAATCCAAGCTTTTACAAGAGGAGCTGTGCAGGAGCTGTTCAGAGGATGTAATGGAATGTGTGGATCAGAGGTGCTAGAAAATAGACAGAAGCAACAGGAGCCCCCTAACAGAGAAAAAAAACTTAGGAATGATCTGCTTAGGAATCATCTACAACAGGGCTGTCAAACTGCCGGCCCGTGGGCCGATTTCATCATACTGAAGCCGCGCCCACCCCATTGCCAGCAATGGCAAAACCGGCCCGTGACGTCGCGAGTTTGACACCCCTGATCTACAATATATAGTGTCTGTAACAGTTACTATGTAGAACAGTTAGGCAGAAGACTAGCACATCCATGAACATCAACCAGCTGTGAGAAGAAACAGCATCCTAGACCAAACCAAATCCAAAAATGCTAGGAGATTCCTGGAAAACTGGCATTCAGACAAATCAGACATCAATAGACACATAGAAATAAAACATATTTATACATCATTCAGAAGAGACAAGAAAAAACTAAGAAGGAAACAAAAAGTCCAGGATATATCCTCTCCAGCAGCCAACATCCACATAAGCGGTGATTAACACCAGAGAAACAAGCAGAAAACAATACCCTACTCAAGAAAATAACAAGGAGAAAACCTCATTCTGACCAACATTGGGAGGGCAAGCTACTACATATAAACAGGGAGCAAAACCCACATTCACAATGATGATGTTACCTTGTTGGATAATGAAATGTCTGCAAGCAAACAACCAAGCACAGAGAGCACCAAGGACTCCAAAGTAAAATACATGTTATGGTACTTTCTGCCTTTCCACTTAGTATCTTGTATCTGTATAACATCCGCAGATTGTATATCCATCAGTATTCTAAAGTATTTCTGGATCCTATCAGTAAAAGTTGATATTTTACTTGCAAATTAATTAGGACATAGTTTTCCAGTACCAGAATGCTAACCACTCTGTCAGCATTAACTTATTCTCATTGCAGAGCTGCAAAAAATGGTAGATAAATAGATAAGTTAGATTAGAAATCCAGGAAGGTATGTCAAGAATCAAATCTAAAATCTAAGCATTCTTGGTGACAATGAAATATACAGTGTATAAAAATCACTATTTTAATCTTTGTGTTTGCATGTGCCTTCGAATCAGTGTTGATTCCTGGAATCTTGATGTATCCCTGCAGTTCTGTTGGCAAGATTTCAGAAATGGTTTGCCCTTGCCTGCTTCCTAGAGCTGAGGGAGAGTAATTGGCCTATCACCCAGCTGGTTTCATGCCTAAATCAGGATTAAAACTCGCAATCTCCCAGTTTCTAGGTTGGTGCATTAACCACTACACCAAACTGTCTGTCATATGCATAGGATATATTGACAGATGTTTATCTCCTTCATATACAAATGTAAGCACAGACTTTTGGTCAACTGTTAATAGCTAAAATAAAAATCCGGTGTGGTTGCAGTTCTTGAAGAACAATTTTGAATGGAATCAGCAAGCATTTTGATTTGGAATCAGAAGTTCTATTAGATTAAGCCCATAAATATCTAGCCCAATGTTTCAATTTTCAGTTACAGGAAACCAGATGTGCCTAGAAGCAAGACATAAGAGAATAAGCATTCTGTGTAACTTTTGTTAATGCCTAGCATTGCCATTCAGAATGTAAGGAATTAGTTATTAATTTGTCTATAGAAATGTATTGGAAAATAATTGCTTTGCAATATCATTCTGAATTTATCCTGCTGTCTTCTTCTATGCCACTATATACATAATGGATAAGTACTGGGAAGTTTTAGATTATTATAAGTTGGTGAGTAAGGAGTTATATTTCCTACATGTGCTGACACAATCTGGTAGACATATTGTTTTAAATAGATAAAGGTAGTTGAAGTTTTATGCCAAGAGGATTATAAAGAATGAATCCTAACACAAAGGAGCTATAGTTTATTATAAATCTTTTAATGAAGAGAAAGATAAACGATATATTAAGATCCAGAGAAAATGCAATGAATTGGTATACTTTTTAAAAATACAGTTCTTTCTACTTATTGAATTGCGCTGGGAGAACTAATTATTGCTGTCACGTATGAATTATCTCATGTGAGAAGATTAACTGGAAGGAGAGACAACACTGAAGTTTTAGTAACTTAATGTATGATGGAAGTAAGCATCTATATTGCTGCTGAATATGAAACCTCTCAGCGCTTTTTAAGATTGATTTATTTCATCTGCAACAATTGTCTTTTGCCGGGGGATGAATGAAAACCAGAGAATAAGATCTATAAGATGTGTTTCATGGTTAGATTTTAGATAGCTGTCCCCAGCCATTGTCTAAAATCTTACGTAAACAGATATTTTCATCTCTATAAAATGTAAAGATTATTGCAGGCTTATTCTGTAACAAGACAGACAGATGATAGGCAGGCAAGCAGGCATTTTACTTTAATGGTTTTACTGCTGTGATTTTTGTGTACCTTACTCAGAATAAAAAGAAGTGATTCATAGTTTTCTTTTATTATTATTATTAAAAGGACCTTCTTCATTTACTGAGATTTCTTTCCAACCCTCTCTCCTAAATCTAAATGCATATAAAACCTGGTTTGTGGATATATTTTACAAAAATCCAGAAATAAGAGTTTGGTGGTGGGGGGGTGTCAGTTGTTTTCTTTTGCCTTCCAAAAACTTAAACATATTTTAGCAAAATAAAAAAAAATATTGATTATCAGTAAAGTATCATTCAAGAAACCATTTGTATATTTTAAGCTGATCGTCACAGAGAGGGGCAAATCATAATTGATTAAAATGTAGATTTTAAGATTCAGTAATGCAGTTTCAGATTATTTGCTATTAAATAACAAAATCCAGCATACATTATCATTTTCCATCTGTAAACATTTGTGACAGAATAGGCAAAACACTAAAATCCCTGCTTCTGAAATGCGATTTATTCCAGTTGGAATGTGAGCCTATGTTCTTTAGAACAATCCTGTACTAAATTGTTGCTGTTACTAATATTATGTAATAGGCGCCTTTAGAGCAACTTAGTTTATTGAGGGGAGACTGTTACATATAGCAAATACAATGTTGCTAGATAAGCAGATCATACCAGTAACTACAATGTGCATTTGTGTTCTTTCTCCGCTTTTTACTTCCTCTCTTTATTTAAATCTCATGTTTTTTTACAAATTTTTTTAGCAACAGTCCAAGATTATTCATCTCTTCCTATCTTTCTAAGTTAAATCTGGAAGGTTATAGAGAAGACAAAAGTGGCATCTGTGCACTACATAGCATGTTTACAGATCAGTGTGATGACAGGTAGCTGACAGTGTAGATCAGAAATACACAAGAGTGTCCTTTTACATTTGTGGTACATGCTGCCTGTTTACTTACTTTTCGTCACTAGGAGGGTGCTGCCAAGGTGACAATGCCCTAAGGAAATGTATCACATTTCTTTGGTTACAAAGAATGTGGGAAAAATTCCAGGGTAGCGTGACCATAATCTAACTTTTTTTTTTTACAGTATCTGCTTTTTGTTGCTTGTTTCAAATTGCATTCTACTGTATTCTTTTATTGTACAATAAATGACTTAATGACTGCCCTATTTGGCGACAGTTTGAAGTTATGATGTTGCTGAAAAAGTAACTTTATAACTAGTCCTTTCACGTACAACTGTCACAACATCCCCGTGATCACGTGATTGAGATTCAGACACTTTGCAACCCACAGGCATTTATGATATTTGCAGCATTCCCTGGTCATGTAGTTGCCATTTGTACATTTCACAACTGGCTTCTGACAAGCAGAGTCAATGGAGAAGCTGGCAGTAAAATTGCAAGTCACAGTCACATGCCGTCTCATTTAATGACTACAGGTGATTCACTTTATGACCATGGAAGGTCATAAAGTGAATCACCTGTAACATATGTCTAGTGTGGTCATGTGATGTCTTGCTTTAACAATAACTTTGCTTAACAATGGAGTTGCCAGTCCCGATTGTGGTTGTTAAGTGAGAACTATTTATATTGTGAACTGCCCAGAATCATCTGGAGTAAGATATCACGTAAATAAAATAAAGTAAATTAACTTCCTGAGCTCAGCATCAGGAAGTTCTCAAAAGAACGGAAAGAACATTGCAGGAATTGAGCCTGATCTTGTAACCAGTGTTTTATGTTAGTACACACCATCAAAATAAAAATGAAACAAGCATCACCTTCTAAATGGTGGAAGGAAACGATGGGAGGAAGCAAATGAGTTCAAATCACTTTTTCATCATCATTTTTAAAGATACCTGCTTTTATTACCTTGGGACTGACACAATAGGTTCCATGTTTCAATTTTTTTAAAAAAATATTTCATAGCTTGCAACCATTCTGAAATCAACCTTCTCTTCTCTATTTCAAAGGACCTTTGTAGGCTCACATGGAACCCAACGAGTTATACACCGTGTTGCGTTTTCAGACTGTCAAAATGGATTAGGTAATTAAATTACGTATTCAATTTACTCTAATAAAGTTGGCGTATTGCTACACTGTTTAGGGCAGGTGGTCCACTCTAATGTAGATTGGATTTGTAATGTATATAGTTATTTAGTAATTACCATGGTATGTTTATCACAGTGGGGAAAATAAGAAAATAACCTATTTACTTCTTGACTGTTTTAATTGCTCAACAGGCATTAAAATTATTGGAGGCTGTCAAGATCGATCCAAAGAAGAATATGGAATTTTCATAAAGGAGATATTACCCGAGAGGATAGCTGCTACAGGTAGTAAATAATTACTTGTGATCTTCACTGGTGGCAATGCTGCTTTAAAAACAAAAAGCTGTAACAATCCATATATTGATTTTTTTTTTATTAAAGAGCCATACTTCCAGACCATCTTCTTTTTCCTTCCCCTACGGAACATCCTCATTCTGTTCTAGAAATTCCAACCTTTTAGAGCAGAAGGAGATTACACAGGAGAGGCTGAGGTCACCATATCCATAGTTCCACTCATGGAAATAATTATTTCCTTTTGGGAAAAAAAAAGTCTTTGGATTTCATCCATTAGATTCAAGTGAGAGAATTTTAGGCGCACTAATCAGGCTTGCAACTTCTCTCTGGGTCATACACACAATAAACCAGCCAGGAGATTTGAAGAAGTTGCTTTTAGCTCCAGCTAGCCATGGGGTGCTTATCTGCTCTGCTGGCCAAATAGAGGGGAAAAACTTCTTTAAACCCATCTTCTCTGTCCCTGTTTTACTTCCCATAATATAGACAAAGGACAGGAAAGATGGAATAACTAGCCTCTCCCTGCCATCTCTATCCATGGGGGCTCCAAAGCTTGTTGGATTACCATGGATATGTTTGGTTTTACTTTTTTTTTTTTTTTTTACTTTCCTCTTTACTGGAAATGCAAATATAGCTTTTTATTCACCTTCCAACCTCTTATATATCAGCTGATTTCAAAACTGTCAGTTCCCTCTTTAAGTAGAACATTGTTGATCATATGTTGCTGGTGCACAAGATAGGTCTTTACCAGTGGAGAATAAATGACTAAGTCATAGAAACACAGCTATTAATACTTAGTTCACTAATTCAGGGCAATAATATGGGATCAAGGTATTATAATAGATATGTCTGATAGTAAGATTCATATGATAGTTAAGTTACCCCCAACTATAATGTCCATCATATAAAAATAATAAAATAAGTAAAACGTTAAAAATGGCATAAAAGATAAATGAAAGATTGCCTTAGGTCATTATTATGAAGTCCTATAGAAAGATATAAATAAAATGTCATTCAGCATAGCTAGAAAATAGCTAATTACTAATCTTGTAGCTGTTTCATACTGCTTGAATATATCAGGAGTAATTCTGATATTTTTCTGTGCTTGGTGGGGGGTTTGTGTGTGTGTGTGTATGAGAGAGAGCAGGGTTTTTTTCCTAAACGAAACATTTTGTTTTCTTGATGTAGCTGATTTCTAATTAACTATCATGATTTTTTTTTATTTTCAAGATCAATTGTGTATTGGAGATTTGATTTTAGAAGTGAATGGCCAAAAATTACGTGGCGTAACTAATGAAAGGTAAGTTCTAGCATTTAATTATAAGCATCAACTGGAATGGCTAGCATTTGTATTTGCCTATTCGTATTTTAGCTCAGATTAGCTACAGAAGCTATATTAGCTATAGAAAGAAAAAACAGTTGCCTCCAACTGCTTTAACATCTTCTTTAACATCTTCATGGATAAGATGCCATACAATAAGATAAAGTGTCACTGGCCTGCTCTGTGCCAATTTAAGACAAAAAAGAATGCTGTCTTCACAATATCCATTGCTAGGAAGCATAATTGTAAAAAGGACATTATACCAACATTAATAATGTTTTAAAAATGAACATATAATCATTCAACTCATCGAAAACAATAAATAAACAATAGAAAACAATAAAATGAATTATGGTGATGCTTTTGTAGCACCTCAGTGGAGAAAGTCAGTACATTTAACTCTTCATTTTTAATTTTACAGAGCTGTTGACATATTACAGATGGCATCGGCAACCAATCGCGTGTCTTTGCTTATCGCCCGAGATGAAGATGCAAAGTAAGAAATGTTAAATTTCCCCAAGTCCTAGAAAATTATACTAAGGACTTACGATAAATTATACATTTACCTTAAAAAAATATCCCTCTTTATTTAATCTCTTTCATTAGAGCTTCTTTAATAGTGTGGGAACTTCCCTCAGCTCACTGCAAAAATGCAAAGTTTTCAAGTTTTTCTGCAGGTTAAAGAAGAAAAACCACAATCCCTATCCTTTTTGAGAAAATTTGGAATGAAAAATAAATATGGCATCTGTTCCCACTTTAATAAATCCTGTCTGATAAAATCAATAGAGAAGTGAAACTAAATGTGAATCATTAAATGTATGGAGATGATTCCTGCAATCCATTCTTGAAAAGTGAAATCTGAAACTTTGTTTTCCTCATTTGTGTGTTAATAGACTTGTGGACTTGTAGTCTTCTAATTGCAGCAAGTTCACTGTTAGCCCTGTCTTATGAGCTTTATGAATAGAGTTGTCATAAAGCATTTTTTCCCAATCTGGTGCCTTTCAGATGTGCCTAGTTAGTATATAACTACTGATATTTCCAGCTAGCTACCTAAGGATTCTGGGAGTTGTAAGCGCATTATTTCTGGAGAACATTGTAAAGATGGAGAAAATTGCCACTAATTACAGCATTTCTCTAAATTTGATTTCCCTTTTCAGTATTGCAATTCTGCTAGTGTGGATGTATATATGTAGTTTCCTCTAGTTTGCTTGCTTGCTTGCTTTATTTGTTTGTTTCTTTGTTTTTAATACCTGTGGGATCAAACTAGATATTATCTGAGCAAAATGTACATATCAGGTTAGCTACCAGTGGTAGAGAAACTGCTCCTATATGGAAGGCTTTATATGGATAGGAATGGGATTTATCCAAACTAGTGCAGGATTTTAAGCTAGTTTTCGTCTAAGCAAGGCTTTGCCTGATTTTAAAACCTGGCTAACTGCTTGTACATGAAAACATGAAAACTGAATGCACAAATACTTGTTCTCAAAGATTGGAAAAAATTGAACTCTGTTCAAAGAAATAATTAGGGACATTTAGGAAGCAAAAGACAAAATTAAAAATGTAAACATTGGAAATAAAGACATTTTGTTTCTTCCTATAATGGAAGTCGGAGCATTCTGCCTTTTAAACTCTGAATTTCAAACATTTTGCAGTGAGGAAATATTGGCTACAGTTGAAAGAAAAATGGCTAATTTCCCCTAATATAGGAAATAACACTGTGTTTCTGGGTATTGTGTAAATTGCCAATTATACACAAATGGTTTTATTCTCTCCCTGTTCTGTAGATTGGAGATTCCTAATCTGATTCTAGCTAAGAAATACTGGCCTGTTTTTTTTAACTACTGTAACCATCTTGAATAATTAAAACCTGTAATCAATTCAGGCATTCCAGCAGATCTCAGTGCAGAACCAAATTAGACTCCCTCTTGCTAATTTATAATTTTGTTTTATTGGGCTCATACTAACATGTGTTCAACTCTCTTTAAATTTACACTGGCAAATTGTTATATAGCCTTCATCTGTCTGGTCATGGAGGCTTTTTTTCATCTGCCCATTTTAGTCAGGAAGATCCTACTCACTGTAGTAATAACAAGTGAGTACAGTGAGGACAATTGACCAGTGGAATAGCTTGCCCCCAGAAATCATGGGCGCTCCATCACTGGAGATTTTTAAAAAGAGGCTAGACAGTCACTTGTCTGAGATTGTATAAGTTCTCCTTTCTATTCTATTCCATTCCATTCCATTCCATTCTATTCTACAGTCCTAAAGAGGTAGACTAAACCAGCAATCCCCAGCTTTCTTGCTTTACGGACCGGCGGTGGGGGGGAGAGGGTGCATGAGTGGTGGGTAAGCGCACGCAAGCCACTCGCACAAATGGAGCTTCGCACGTGCACATGCTCACCAGCCGCTTATGCAAATTGGAGCTGTGCACAGCCTGGTTCTGAACAGGCCATTGGGGGGGGGACCCCAGGCTAAACCATATTGAACTTAATCAGGTTTACTTCTGAGTAGATCTTCAGATGTTATGGCGACCTGAGTATTATAGAAGAGGCCTTCTGATCAAGTATATCTGTATCCCCCCCCAGGCTTTTAGTAGTTATGGAAAATGTGTCTTTCCTTTAGAAGAGATTGATGCATTTGCTACTTAAAACCAAGTCTGATTTCCAGAACTGGGCTGTTTGATCATTCTGATCATAGATTTGTTAAATCTATGAGAAAACCATAATATAAACCTGGCTAAAATAGCACATCTTCCTGTTTGTGGGCAGAGAAATTGGTCCATTTTGCTGTTCCCTACTGATATATTGAATGGTGACAGATCTCCAGATTTGAAAAGACAGAAGAGAATGTGGGAAAGTTATTAGTCAGCCTTAAAAATCAATATGGGGAAAGCATAGGCATCTTGGCAAGCCTAATTTTGTGTTGGAATTTGCAAATTAAAAGAGCACATGAAGAATTCTTGCTGTTTCAAGTCTATCTATGAGAATGGATCCGTCTTGCATATTCCATGCCACACACAACTTCCAACTTGTAATTATGCAACCTAGCTGCACTGCAATTGAAACAGTATCTCATATTTGACAGAAAGTCTATTTAGGTTAACTATTGTCTAATCTTTAATACCACTATTCCTGCTCTTCATAGGTTGTGAATGTATGTTATGTATATTTGTTAACTGCTACATAAGACACAAAGCAAAACCTAGGATTTAGCTTGGCAACGACAAATAAGCTAAACATGTATTTCTTGAAAGGTCTTGGATCAACACATTCTAAGAGGTATTAAATGAGATATCGCATCTTCAACTTTTTAAAAAAAAAATATTGCAGGAAAGAATTTCTGGCCTTGATGGAGAAATACAGTTCACACAGTAACATAAACTCCAGAAGGAATTCCCCGACGCAGCTCCTAACTGGTAAGGGATTGGTTATGTTTTCACTCTGCAATATAAGAGAACAGTAGAGAAAGCTTCTTGGCCTGATGGCCTCCATTAATATTTCAGGTTGGTAGAGATGCTTTCACGAATTGGAAGGTAGACCTTTAACCCAGATTTTATGGGCTGATGTTTGATGGACAGAAAGGACACCTCAGTTCAATCAATATTATATATATATATTTCTTTATGAGACTGAACAGTTTAGTAGTGGTGTCATACTGCCCCCTAGGGCTTCTTTTGTACATTTCCAAATGTTTGGTGGCTTAAAGAACATATTGAGCCTATAATTCCAAAGTGTGCCATGTAAATAATTAACTATATTCTCAGGAAATCACTGGCTAACACTGTTGTGTTATGATTGTGCCACAGTGAGAGGAAAAACACTAGTAAACCAGCTGTTCAGGACCATTTCAGGCCCCAGAATCCCGTATTGCTCATAGGTTACCATGTCATGTGCCAGTTCCAATTAATTAAAGCCTATGCAGAGCCTTGCACTGTAATATAGGAAACAGTTTCTGGCTTAGTGTTTAAAAGGGAGAGAACTTAAATTGTTGCTAACTTCTATTTTGTCAAAATGCTTGCAGGTTTATTTATTGCCCATGTGAATAAAAGATTAGAGTTTGAAGCCTTATATATTGTAAGCGACTGGACAGAGCAGATTGCAATTCATTGTAAAGGATGGTTTTGGGCCTATCAGCTTTTTGTAATTAAATTATATTTGCCCTTTTTCCTTTTTCACAAGGAGCTCATGGTATGCTTTCCTTCACTTTGAGGTGGTGTGTAGGTTGATCTTTATGACTGAATGGTGATTTGAAATGATGTTTCTCCAGCCCTAGTCCAGCAGTCTGTTAAATTATAATTCTCTCTATTTTATTGGGGAGCCGTTTTTGCCCTTACTGGTAGGCAGTTTAGTCTAAGAACATTCATAGATGAAAGTACTGTTTATAGGTAATCCTCAACTTACAACTACAATTAGGAACAGAATGTCCATTGCTAAGGAGGGCAGTTGTTAAATGAGCTGCGACCAATTTTACGACCTTTTTGCTGTAGTCATTAAGTGAATCATGCAGCCATTAAGCGAATCCAGCTTCCCCCATTGACTGTGCTTTTTGAAAGCTGGCTGGGAAGGTCACAACGGCCATCACACATGGTCAGGGCCCTGCAATCATCGTAAATATCTGCCAGTTACCAAACACCAGCATTTTGATCATATTAATGTGGGGATGCTGCAATGCTCCTCATAAGTGCGAGGACCAGCAGTAAGTCACTTTTTTTCAGTGCCTTTGTAACTTTGAACGATCATTGAACAAATGGTTGTAAGTCGAAGACTACCTATAACGAGGAGTCTTAGTTTTAATTTGAATTTACTGCATGGTCAAAAATAGCTCTCTGTATGAATTTAGTTTTCAGCAAGTTCCTCCAATTTGTCCATGCTTGTGTCCATGTTTTATGGTATTCTGCATCTTTGCATATGGAGGGTGGGGTGGAATGATGTTTCTAGTCCTTCCAACTGCAGATTTTCCCCTTTCTTCATTCCATTCCCACCAATGCTGAATACGGATGTCTTAAGAGAAAAACAATACATGAGCAGTTGCCTGTGTGAAAGTATCAGCCTTTCTAAGTAATTGGAAATAAATGATGGAAACAAACAAAAGGCTCAGACAGAAACGGACTGGATAGTGGCATAAGTGGGGGGAGAGGGGAGGGAGTGACAAATTATACAAATGGTTGAGATGGGGGAATGTGGTGCTTCACTTTCTTTTAATTGACAGAGTGAGCTTTGTTTTCTTTAGCACTTAGACTCCAATTTCTAAATATTACAGTTTAAAAGGTAAGTAATTATGCTTCCAAATTGGGAGAATTAGAGTTGGAGGTTGCTCCTGAGGCTGTAAAACAGGGGTATCCAACCTTGGCAACTTTAAGACCTGTGGACTTCAACTCCCAGAATTCCCCAGCCAGCTATTTATGCTGGCTTGGGAATTCTGGAAGTTGAAGTCCACAGGCTTAAAGTTGCCAAGGTTGGACCCCTCTGCTATAAAAGATGTTTGGGGTTATATTTGGCCCTGGAATTGCCAGTCTCTTCCTTTCCTTGATGTCAGGGAACTCACTTAAGATGCTCCTAACAGGACATTGTGACCCTTGGACTGGACCCCATTCTTCACCCCTACTTTAAAATAATGGAAGATTTGTTCAACAGGCAATAATCTTTGTGGTACTGAGCAGTTGATTGCTGTAGAAAATTCTCATTTTGTTTCTGTGACTCTTTTTTTATCTTCCCATAAAAGGTGTTGATAGCTTTTCTTCAGGGGCATCTTCAGTGAGTCCTCCATTATTTCATCCAAAGGACACTGTGACAAACCTCCCAGGAAGGCCTGCAGCGGTAACTTCCCTTCAAGCCACCACAAAGTAACTAAGTTTGTTTTTCATGGAGAATTTGTGGAAAAGACAGGATGCTGGGCTTAAAGCATAGGATCATTACCATTTCCAAAGCCTTCCTTTTAATCTAAGGTTGTGAGCTGTCAATACTGACAGAAGGTCCTCAAAGAGGCATGGGTTTCAATTTTTGTTTTATATGCTTTTTCTCTGCATGGAAAGCGAATTAACTATGAAAAATGTCATAGCCAGGCTCTGCTGCCTTTTTCTGTAGTTTGCTCCCAATTATTTTTCTTAAATAGTCTCGTTTTTTTTAAGGAGACATAGGATCTTGTCATATGTCAGTTGAGAGGCAATCCTTTCCATCCATTCAGCAGAATTGAAGAAGCCTCTTGAATGAGAAGGAAAATGTTTTTAAAGAAAAAAAGCCAAGAAGGTCCAGTTGCCTTTTGGAAAAAGCATCTTTGGGACAACCATGACATGGATGATTGTGAATCTTCATAGATATCTTTTCATCCAGTACTGTCAGGCTTTTCCTGTGACCTGCTCCAAATCCTTTAAATTTGGCCCGTGAGGATGCATTCTGGGACTTTCCCAAGACCTTTCTTCATTTGCTTTTTCCCTTTTTTAAAAATAAGCAAAAAAGCCCCAACCCTTTGTCATTCTCTGAGTAGATTCTGAGGGCTGAGAGGCACCATAGTTTCCAGGCTGGGAAATCCCACCCATAATCCTTTGTAGATGAAGAAAAACTTCCCCTGTCCCCATTTTTCAAAACCAGGAAAAGAAGTAATGATGTCACTGTTGCTTAGCAACTGTGCTTTTCTTTCATGGGCCCAAGTAAAACTCCCAGCTTTGTTTGGTGGCAAGCAGACACATATCCAGGAGTCCACAGCAAGGCCACCAGCCTGCACATTTTGTGTCATAGTTACTGATCCTGGACACATGCATTTCTGAAATTATGAAGCAAAAATCACCCAACAGCAAGAACCCTATTAGGTTCTAAAGTTAGTATCTGTAGACATATTGGCCTCCATGACTATCATGCTGTGGGGACAGCGTCTTAACGCAGCCTGGTTGGAAGTGGATGCTTTCCAGCACTCAAACAGAATTACCCCCATGATCCAGTTTTTTATTTTATTTTTATGTTACATTTATTATTTTTACAAATATTAATGACAGCAAACATGTTTCACATGCCTTCCTCCTCCTATTTTCCCCACAACAACAACCTTGTGGGGTGGGCTGGGTTGAGGGAGAGTGACTGACCCAAAGTCACCCAGCTGGCTTTCATGGCTAAGGCAGAAGCTGAATTCATAGTTTCCCGCTTTCTAGCCTGGGGTCTTTTTTTTTAATAAATATTTTATTAGATTTTATAAGGATAAAGGGGAAGTGGGGTCAATAAGGGTATAACAAGGAGTGACAAACAAAAAAGGTTAGACCATTCTAGCCTGGGGTCTTAATCACTAGACAAAACTAGCTCTCATCTTTAAATTTAAAGCAACATTATCCAAAAATCTTGTATCCCTGCTCCTGATCCTTAGGTTCCTGGGTCCAAACCTTATTTTTCTCTATTGTCTGTTTCCTAGCTTCTGGTTTACTATCAGGTCTCATTATGCTTATATTATGAACCACAGTTCATTTTCCCAATGTCTTGGTATGCTTTCACTGAATTTACAGAGAAATATGTAAAATGCCTGTTTTCCCTGGTCTTGGTTCACCTTTAAACTTCAAGTTCAATGTAGATTTATAAGGCTCAGCTTTTAGGCGTGTAGAAGAAAGGAAGAAAGCAGTGACAAAAACACTTCCATGTTATTGCCAAGATAACTCATGAACTTATTATGAGTCAAACCAAACTTAAGAGTTTAACTTGACATATGTTTAATTTACATATTATTACAGTAAGAATATAGACAGCTGTTGATAAATTAATCCCCATTTTCAAAATTGACAGAACTCTCTGGTTATTTTTTTTTCCTCAATACATTAAGACAATGATCTTTTTCATCAAGTCTGGTTCAGAGTTGGTGCCAGAAATATATAAAGTGCCTCCTTTCCCTGGTCTTGGGTCACCATTAAACTTCAAGTTCTATGCAGATTGATAAAGCTCAGCTTTTAGATGTGTAGAGATTGGCATTGCCACAAGACATTTGCTGCCTGAGGTAAATAAAATAAAATAAAAATGCTGGTTTGCCTGATTCCACATGAGGTGTCCCCTCAGGCCAAGCATTGAGTCCTGGCAGATGGCAGCTGTTGTTAGATAGGGTAGGACAGACCAAGTGATTTTGCCCAGGCAACCTCAAGTTCCATCTGCTCATCTAAGAGAGATGCCTTACAGCCTAGAAACAGGTTGCGTTCTGGCATGAGTTTTGGTTATACAATTGCCCTGTCTGAAACACAGCATAACGGAGAGGAGACAGTTTTGGATAAATGTCTTTTGATACCTTACTTTCTGTTCGTACCACTTTTTAATCTTTTTTTTTTTACCCTCAAATTCCATGAAGCAAATGGGGGGGGGGGAGAGAGAAATCTTCCAGATATAGGAAATTGTAGGACCCAGAGTAAAAAACTAAGTTTAAGTTTTTGTTTTTGTTTTTTATTTAAAACATGTATATGGCGTATTCATTTGCCACATTCCAAAGACATACAGTAGTAGATTCTTTCCTAGCCCACTGCGAAAAAATATTCTTTACAGAAACAGAATTGAACAAGAGGCCCTACGCCAAAGTTTCCATTTTGAACAGGATTCCTTGATTCAATTTTCCTATTCTCAGTTGCATTTTAGAAGGAGGTGGCGTGTTGGGGGAAATGGATCTCCTGCTTAATATTCCTAAGCATAGCAGGCATCAGAGCACGGCTATGAGAAAAACGAAAGATTTTGCTGCAAGGTGTTCTTTGTGTTTGTTCTCAGTTTCCAGTCACTGACCTTTTAAAGCTAACTTTGTTTCTTTTTTCTCTAGTGACAGCATATTTCAGATTATCAGTGTTTCCAAGGAAACGGGTCTGGGCCTGCAGATTGTAGGAGGCATCGACAAGAATGAAGGGCCCTTGGTGTATATTCTGGCAGTTATTCCTGGAGGTGACTGTCATAAGGTACAGAGGCAAAGAAGAGTTGGGGAAGAGGGTTTCTGTCTCTGCTTTTCTCTTTGCAACCCAAGGAGGACACGAGTGCCATTGATTGGTGTCTGCCTAAGTCTTTCAAAATTAACATGACTCTAAATTAAAGGAGCAGCAAACCTATTGCTAAATCCCTCTGAACTTTGCCTTCCTCAAATAAAAATGGGCATAGCTTCATTCTCACTATCCTGAGCAACATCCTGATAACTTTGACAGTATCTTGTGAACACCTTCTGATGTTAGATGTTCTGACAAATATTTGGGACAAGAATGTATCAAAGCTGGAGTATAGACAGGCTTGATCTAGGACAGGTCTTCAAACTTGGTCCTTTTATGACTTGTGGACTTCAACTCCCAGAATTCCTCAGCCAGCATGCCTGGCTGAGGAATTCTGGGAGTTGAAGTCCACAAGTCATAAAAGGACCAAGTTTGAAGACCCCTGATGGAGGAATTGGATCAGTCAGCTGTCAGTACAGAGTCATCTTCAGTGCAAAGATTTTACCAGTGAAGTGCTGTTTGCTTTGATGCTTTTAAGTTTCTTGGTCCATTGCACTTTATATTTTAAAGTTTCATCCAGTACTTTTAAAAGAGATGCTATTTATCAGTGCTTTGAATTTTCCTTAACTTTGATATTGAGGGCACTGATTTCTCTGTGTCATCTGGATAATATTCAACCACCTGAAATGTCTCATTAAAATATGGCACAGGTGATAACACTAGGCTGCATAATTCTTGGATGAGAGATTGTTAGGTAATTTTAGAATTATGGGCTAGACTGGGGAGTTGAAAGACATCAGGAAGAAAGCAGTGACAAAAGCACTTCCACGTTATTGCCAAAATAACTCATGAACTCATTGTGAGTCAAACCGAACTTAAGAGTTTCATTTGACATATGTTTAATTTACACATTATTATATCAAGAATATAGACAGCTGTTGATAAATTAATCCCCATTTTCAAAATTTGCAGATCTCTGCAAGCAGAACTCTCTGGATATATTTTTTTTCTCAGTACATTAAGATAATGATCTTTTCTATCAGTCAGGTTCAGAGTTGGTGCTAGAATTAGGCAACCTAGTGTACCCCATATGTTTTGGGCTGAATTTCCTATAATCTATTTTCATGTGCCTTATTGCCTGCAACTGGTATGGTATGTTTAATTTCTTACATTCAAATGGAGAATATGCTATTTGGAGTCACTGCCACAAGAGGTCACCATTGTTTCTTGTATCATCATGCATCATGGGTTCTCCAGCTTGGTGCATTCAAGAATTCAGTTGCAGTTCCCAGGCTAGTTAGAAATTCGGGAAGTTGCAGTCCCAACATATCTAGAGAATTGAGAATACTATGTTATTAAAGCAATAGAAAGCTAATCAAAAGGAATCTTAAAGAACCATCCAAATGCAAGGGCTCAATAATACTGTAGCTGAAGATATAAATCAACATTTAAGAATGCAATCAATTAGCATCTTATGAACCATAGGAATACAGAATGTTATTAGATGAAATAATGTTAAAAATAGTTATGGTGATTTATTGTAGGCATCGATCTGCATTCAAGAGGTACTTGCATTGTTTTCTGTGAACCTTTCATCTCAAGCATTTCATACTGACAGTCCCACAACTCCTGTTATTCCTTTTTCTAGGTATCTTACTCTTTCCTTTATTTCTTTTGTAACATCTTATTGCTGCATGCATACAACATAGAATCGCTTTTAAAACAGAAACCCCAGATTATCAACATAGTACCTTGCTGATATAAAAATTCTTCTGGTACTCCCCTGATAAATAGCCAGCAGTAAATCAGCCTTTCTCAGTTTGATTTTAACTTCAGATCCCTGACTGAAGGCTGGTGAAAACTTCCTGAATTTATTGATATAAAAGTCAGTACATCATATTTGTATCTTTCTAATCAATTTGTTCACTGAAGTATGTCTGTGGTAGTCATTGACAGCAGAGCTTTTATTCTCATCCCTTTGATAATAAATTAATCAAGCTCAGGGTTGGATTCACTAGTACAGAAAACTTATTGTGTATCTGTGGCTTAATTCTGTAACAAAATCAACATCTGTAGTTTAATGTAACCTTAACCCCCAGATCTCTCAGAGCTGTTATTCAGGTAAAATTAATAGCAAATCAATTCCCCAAGAGATTGATATTAATTTTTCCTTCAAATGCCCCACCAACTTTTATGATAAGCCCCTTGGGCATTATTTGTAGGAGGTCCCCAGCTATGCTAGATAGATTAGAAAGCATGGACAAAGCCTACACAGAACATTATTCTGAGCTTTGGTGAGTTTCTAATGTCATTTTCTTCTTTAAAGGCATAAAGCAAGAAGCTGGTATCACTTGTGTATCCTTACTTATCCCACACCAGACCAAATACAGTCTGTCTGCTTCTTATTCAAGAGAAACTAACAGTATTTTGGATGTCCGGTATTACAGAGAATAAGAGTATTGCTTCCTATTAATTCAGTAGACAAAACAACTGATTCTAAAAGAACAAGACATACTGTGGAGTACATATTTTTTCAGAAACATGTGCAATATAGAAGATTTCCTCGAACACCTTTCCACAAGTCCCCTTCCGTGCCAGAGAAAGATGAGAGTTATTTCTCCCATCTTTTATTTGGGTGGAGAATACACTTCAGGGGGGGGGGGGAGTAAAGTAAGGAGTTTATGTTTGTTCTCTTTTAGGAGTAGTCAAGCATACTGCAGAATTAATGCATTCAGATCAGTAGAAGGGAGGCTCCGTTACATCCTTTAGGGGAAAATATAATTTTGCTATCGTTCTCTTTTCCTGCATATGTTAGTTTATATATTGTAACACAGCTAAGTCTTCGGAGGGGGCAACGGGCTTATTTGGACAAGTCCCATTTGCTCAGAGATGAAACACAATAGTAGTTTCATTATATGAATTGCTTTTCAAAAACATATTTGCTACTTTACTTCCAGAGAGCATGTTATATTATTTATTAGAATTTTACCCCATCTTTACAGTATTACTTTAATAACAGGAGTCCCTGACCCCTGGGCTGCGGCCCGTTGGGAACTGGGCCACCAAAGCAGTGGATGAGTGCACAAAGCTTCATTTGCGCATGCACTGGATTTAGGTTCTGTGTGCAAAACCTACCCTACCCCACCCCCACCACCAAAGCCACTGCCACCAGTCCATGGAACCAAAAAGGTTGGGGAATCCCTGCTTTATAAGTAACTTAAAGTGGTAAATATACACAATACGCTTTCCTACCTCCTATTTTCCCTACAACAACAAGCCTGTGGGATAGGGTGGGGTGAAAGTAATCTTTAGCTTTCATGCCTAAGGTAGAATTAGAACTCAGTCTCCTGGTTTCCAGGCCACCACTTTAACCTCTAACCACACTGGCTCACTCTCTTTCTTACATGGCTTGCTGTTCAGTTCTCCGTGCCACTGTTTATTGGGAAGACCTACCCAGGGTGACTGAGTTAAAAGAGAATGCTTTGGGAATGTGAGCACGGAACAGAGAAAAATATTAAAAACTGGCTGTTAAGGCAGCATCAGTTGTATTTAGCAGCCCTCCCCTGCCCCTTCACTCTTCTTCAATCTGACTGGCAACTTAGTTTCCCTTCGCAGTTAATAGATTTACAGAGGTTTTCATTAAGCTGTGTGAACTGATGGTAAAAAACGGCGTGAAATCCTCTCCTCATTATTCTTGTTAGGATGGTCGATTGAGACCTGGTGACCAGCTTGTATCTGTTGATGGGGAATCATTGATTGGAATCAACTACGAAGAGGCGAGGAATCTAATCAACCGAACACAGCCGAGGTAACCATTTGTTATAAAACCAAGCATCTGAACATTCATTTTCAAATTATATTTATGTATTTAGCATTTAAAAATGTCAAAAAGAGTTTTGGGCAGTGCTTTTGAAAATGTGTGTGCTTGTGTGTGTGTGATAGTTTTGTAACTAATCATAGGAAATTAAAGTATATGAATGGGCTTCGTTTGGGGTCTTCGTTGAATTGTACAGAACTTACTTTGATCCTACCACATGAGTTGTCTTAGTTTTTCTAAACACTGTGCCCTAAGTCACAGAACGTTAAAAAAAATTAAGGTCTTCACAACTAAAATTCAGGTAGTCCTCGACTTACGACTTTAACAGAGCCCAGAATTTATGTTAACTGTGTGAGAAATTTGTTAAGTGAGTTTTGCCCCATTTTACAACTCTTCTGGCCACAGTTATTAAATGAATCATTGCAGCTGTTAAGTTAGTAACCCGGTTGTTAAGCGAATCTGGCTTCCTCGTTGACTTTGCTTGTCAGAAGGTCGCAAAAGGGGATCCCGGGACCTTGGGACACTGCAACTGTCATAAATGTGACTCAGTTGCCCAAGCATCTAAATTTTGATCACGGGACCATGGGGATGCTGTAATGGTCATAAGTGTGAAAAATGGTCATAAGTCGTTTTTTCCATTGCTGTTGTAACTTCGAATGGTCACTAAATGAACTGTTGTAATTCGAGAACTACCTGTAACTCACCTCTCATATCAAAAGCCAGTAAAAACAATGTAATAAATTTTAATCTTACTGAATTTGCTTTCTGAATGGCTAGAAAGCAACAAAAAATCTTTATTACTTGGATATATAATGCACATGATACCAGTTTACCACCTTTTTCGTTCATTTAGATCAAATACCTCTTGGGAGATAACTTTCATTCGACATGATTCTAGTCCTGATGAAGTGGAAAATATGCATCCATTCTCCAATCTGCTAAGTTCAGAGAGGTGTGGACTACAGAATGATCTACCCAGTCCAACATCGTCTTTTAATGAGAATGTTGCTGCCGAGAAGTCTGTCCTTAATATGGCAAGTTTAATTTGTCAGATTTTTGCTTTCCTTAAAAAGTTGCTCTGCTTTAAGTGGATAATTTTACCGAAGCAGCACTTAATAGATCCTGGCTGATCTCAAAAACCTGAGCACGGAGACTCAGTACTTTAATGAGAATTCATTAGTAAACAAGGCTGTAAACTAATCAAGGAACAATAATTTTAAAAATCTCGGAGGATGGCAGTGCCAAGCAATCTGCTCAGCCATACCCATGGAGTCACCAGGAGCTGACTTCGTTTCAAAGAGAACTTTACAGTTTAATTTTGCAAAATACATGACCACAACCTACTGTAATAAAAAAAATAATAACTAAAATCAGATTTCTTGCAATGTTGTTTATATATTGACTATTTTTATGAATTTAGAAGGGATTATTGTCTTCTGCCAGTGCATACCCAAATATTTCCAAATATATAGTAATAATGAGCATGTATTTGCATAAGACCAGGGGTAGGCAACCTTTTCTCTTTTATGGCTTGTGGACTTCAATACCCAGAATTCCTGAACCAGCCATGCTGACTCAGGAATTCTGGGAGTTGAAAGAGCCAAGGTTGCCTACCCCTGCATAAGACAATTCCTCGGCAAGACTTTAAAGACAATTCTTTTGGGGTTTCCCGGGCGAGCACGTGAGCGCACGAAACTGCATTTGCACATGTGGCACACATGCAAAACTATCCCCTCCACCCACCATTTGGGAACTGGGCCACGCAAGTGGTGGGTGAGTGCATGAAACCATCCCCTCCCCCTGGTGCCGCCGGTCCGCAAAGCCAGAAAGGTTGGGGACCGCTGTTGGAAGCCATTTTTTTCCCAATTATTTTTAAACATATGCCATTCGACTCCCAATGACCCTTTTATCGCTAATGGTTAATTGGGGAAAAAAATCAACAAAATCATAAGAAAAGAAGGTGGGATTACTGATACAAGGTAACCAAGTTTGGACTCCCTTTAAAATTTTATGAATGAGGCATAACTGTTATATAAGAAGCGGTTTATTTGCAAACATCCACTGTTTATTAATTTTCTGTCTGCTTTCCAGCACTTTTAAGGCAATTTGCAATGCTAAAATAATCATGTATGCCTTCTGCAAAGGAAACAAGAAAAACATAAAATTAAGTCATCAAAGAGAAATTAAACTAGTTAAGAGCAAGCTCTTCGTGCTTATTGTTGCCTGGACTGGGGGTCATGTTTAGTTTCATCTGATCGCTACTTCTGTTGTGCTCTTTTTTTCCTTATGCATAAAGCTTTCAATGTAAAGAAATTCTATACATGGCCAGTGCTATTGCTGAGGAGAGTATGACTATCAAATGCCTAATGAGCTGGGTAAATTATACATCTTCACTTTAAAGTATCTGATTGTCTGCTAATTAGTATTACCACAAATACTTTCTTTGAACTCCTGGCTTGTACATGGCACAACTCACAGAAATAACTTGTTCTAGTGGGCTTGGCTCTCTCCAGCCATATGCAGAGGGCATATACAGAGGGTATATGTTGCCTGTCAGCTCCCAGCGGGCATGATTTTTTTAATCATATTTCTTGGATATTACATGGGCATATCACAGGGCACCAATTGGAGAAAACTGCTTTGGATGAACAAAGCGGCAGCCTGAATTTTTCTGCACAAAGTGGGTTCATATTTACCCACTTTAATTTGCTTTATGAAAAGAAATAAATCTCTGAAAAACATCACTTTGAGGAAAAATCATTTTCATTTGTTCTTAAGCTAGAGGAAGCAGCCTTAGTCTGAGAGGATAATTGGTATTCAGAATAATTGATTGTCTATATCTGCTTTTAAATTAGATGGCCCTTCTCCTCTAGATGTTTGCAGAAGAAATATTTTTAAATAGTCTAAGGGGGAGTATGTATATGTCCTAGGAGACGTGGGCTGGTTTCTCCATTATCAGCATACTTTCTTTATGGAGAAACATATCTATGAATAGAATATGACTGCATCAAGGCCTCCTGGAAAAAAAGTAGTGCAGAAAAATCATGCTTCTCTTTGAGATAAAAACTCAACTCAAAGCATGCTGCATTCCTCGGAGAAATTTCAATAGCCAGAATAATGTGGTTATGCAAAACTTTCAAAAAAGAGTCTTTGCAAGACCAGGTTCCTACACAAAACAACCCTTTTTCAAATTATAAAATAGTTGCATCAACCATATGGTTCATGTGACTACTTCAGAAACGGTTCCTACATCTGTGCACAGCCGTTTTGGTTCATGATTTTGCCCAGACCTAGAGAATAATGTTTTGTTCCACTGAGTGGCTGATTTTGAGTTTTGTATTTCTTTTTGGTACTGACTGAGAAGGGCCTTGCCCTAGATTAGACTAGAATTCCAATTAGAATCCAAAATCCAGGAATTGAGCCCAATTGAATTGTTGGAATCTACGCATATGATTGTACATTAATAATAACAATAACAATAACAACAACAATAATAATAATAATAATAATAAAAATTGAGAAGACAGCAACAGACAGTAAGTGCCGCCTATGCAAAGAAGCTGAAGAAACAGTGGACCACCTGGTAAGCTGCTGCAAGAAGACCGCACAGACTGACTACAAGCAGCGGCATGACAAAGTAGCAACAATGGTGCATTGGAAGATCTGCAAGAAATATCATTTGCCTGTAAGCAAGAACTGGTGGGATCATAAAATAGAGAAAGTCATAGAAAATGATAAAGTTAAACTGCTCTGGGACTTCAGAATTCAAACAGACAAGCACCTGCAACATAACACCCCGGAC